AGGACTGCTGAAAGACATTCTCAGACAGCTGAACTGTCTTACAAGCAGAGAGCAGCTGACAGGCTGGAAGAATCAGAAATCCGGCAAGCTCCATGCAAGAGGCTCAGGCCAATTGAGTTACCTGGACAGAATACTTTCTAACATGCTGAGATGTCTACAGGCTGTGTACTGTGCTGCAGGCTTCCAGCTCTCATAAGCTGCCTCCTATGCTGGCCTTGGTGACGTCATTGCCTTTGAGTCATTCCTGCTCCTGGAAGTAATCCTTCACTTTATTACTTAACACTGTCTTAGTTAGAGTTACTGTTGCTGTGATGAAGGCAAATTAGGGAAGAAAGGGCTTATTTGGCTCATGCTTCCTTCTGCATTACAATTAGTCACCAAGGGAAGTCAGGAGAGTAACCCAAGCAGGGTAGGAACCTGGAGGCAGGAGCTGAATGCAGAGGCCATGGCAGGAGAAGGGACTGGACAGCTTGAGCCTGGTAACCATGGCTCTGGCAGGCCTACCCTTCTTCCCATTCCCTCTGCCTGGCTAAAATCCCTTAGCTACATCCCTAAAGCTAACCACCAGATCTATTCCCTCATTTGGCCTCTTCCTCCTCCTAAGGCTGACTACCAAGGTCCAGCTATCAAAGCATAAAATCCAGCAATCAAAAGTCCCCTTTAGCTCACCAAATTAACATGTCCTATTAAAATAAGCACCTCATCCTAACACAGGGTTTCCCCTTGTACCTTTATTAACCAAATTTGTCTCCTATGTATGCAGAGGCAGTCCTTTGTCCTCTTGGACACATATCCCTCCTCCCTCCCCCTTGTTCCTTTCCCTTCTCTCTTATCCTCTATCTCCTGTTTTTGCCTGTTATTCTTTGCCTCTGCAACTTTGGGGCAAATAAATCTTATTTGTGCTGAAAACATGGTCTTCGAGATGCTGAGCTGACACTTCTTTCTGCAGGAGCTGCCTACTGGTTTGTTCATTCTGCTTTTGTATAAAACCTAAGACCTTCAGCCCAGGGACTGCACCACCCACAATGGGCTGAGCCTTCCCTCACCAATCATTTATTTAAAAAGCACCTTATAGGCTTGCTGGCAACCTGATCTTATGAGGGCATTCTCTCAATGGAGATTCCCTCCTCTCAGCTGACTTCAGTTTGTGTCAAGTTGACAGAAAATTATCCAGCACAAACCCTAATGAACTTCAATGGTTTAACAAGCTGGACTTCAATGGTATCTATACTTTGTGCTCTTCATAGTTCTCTGTCTAGGGTGGGTAGGTATGTTTGCTCATATCTCCCCAGGAAGAGTGTCACAGTTCAGACAGATGCTCAGCCAGGAATCTGTGCTCACCTCATGAAACTGAAAAGCTTCTGTAAAGCAAAATACACTGTCGTCAGAACAAAACGACAGCCTACAGTCTGGAAAACGATCTTCATTAACCCTATATCTGACAGAGGGCTGATATCCAGCATATATAAAGAACTAAAGAAGTTAAAAAGCAATAAATCAAGTAATCCAATTAAAAAATGGGGTACGGAGCTAAACAGAGAATTCTCTGTAGAGGAATATAGAATGGCAGAGAAACACTTAAAGAGATGCTCAACATCCTTAGCCATCAGGGAGATGATAATCAAAATGACCCTGTGATTTCACCTTACACCCATCAAAATGGCTAAAATAAAAAACTCAAATGACAACACATGCTGGAGAGGTTGTGGAGAAAGAGGAACAATCCTCCATTGCTGGTGGGAATGTAAAGTGGTATAACCACTTTGGAAGTCAATCTCAGACAATTAGGAATAGACAAATAGCACTCAGCTTTGGGTATATACTGCTAGGCACATATCCAAAATTTGCTCAAGTACACAAGGACATTTGCTCAACCATGTTTGTAGCAGCTTTATTTGTAATAGCCAGAACCTGGAAACAACCCAGATGCCAAATAACGAAGGAGTGGATACAGAAATTGTGGTATTTTTACACAATGAAATACTACTCAGCAATCAAAAATGAGGAAGTCATGAAATTTGCAGGCAAATGGTGAGATCTAGAAAAGATCATTTTGAGTGAAGTATCCCAGAAGAAGAAAGACAAACATGGTATATACTCGCTTATACAGACCTATAAGATATGATAAATGTAATGAAATCTATACACTTAAAGAAGATAAACAAGAAAGAGGACCTGGGGTAAGATGATCAATCCTCACTTACAAAGTCAAATGGGATGTGCATTGGACGTAGGACAGGAGCCTCCCGCAGAGGGCCTCTGAAAGATTCTACCTAACAGTGTATCAAAGCAGATACTAAGACTCATAACCAAACCTTCAGCAGAGTACAGGGAATCATATGAAAGAAGGGGAGTTAGTATGACGTGGAAAAGATAGGAACTCCACAAGGACCAAATATATCTGGGCACAGCGGTCTTCTCTGAGACTGACACTTCACCAAGGACCATGTATGGATAGAACCTAGAACCTCTCCTCGGATGTAGCCTGTGGTAGCTCAGTAACCATTTAGTTTCTCATAGAAAGGGGAATAGGGACTATTTCTGACAGGAACTCAATGGCAGGCTCTTTGACAGCCCTACTCCCCAAGGGAGGAGCAGTCCTGCTAGACCACAGAGGAGGACTTTGCAGCCAGTCCTGAAGAAACCTGATAAAACAGGGTCAGATGAAAGAGGAGGAGGTTCTCCCCAATCAGTGGACTTGGAAAGGGGCAGGGAGGAGATGAGGGAGGGAAGGTAGGATTGGGAGGGAATGAGGGAACAGGATACAGCTGGGATACAGAGTTAATAAAATGTAACTAATAATAAAAAAATAAAATTAAATTAAAAAAAGAAACATTGGCTAATAAAGCTAATGAAGATAACAACCATTTTAACCAAAAAAAAAAAAAAAAAAAAAAAAAAAAAAAAGAATCTGTTCTCACTTAAAAAGCCCTACAGTTTAGAACCTGTACACAGGAGGCCTGTGTTTAATGCATTCTAGCACCTTCGCCAAATATAAGCCAAATACAAACAGTACACCTAGTTTCCCTCCTAGAATTTAATAACTGTGTACTGGGAACTGATGGTAAGATCTCCCGGGTTTCAAGGTTTAAGGAGCTGGACTCCACTAGGCTCAAACCCTACTCCTATTCTGAGCTCTGGACATTTGGTATTTCATGTGTATATATTTCCTTTCTACTTTGGAAATTCTGAAATAATAGGATCAAGGGAAATGTAGTTTTTCTAGGGAACAGAAAAATCTAGCCACACCCCAAAATGCATCCCTTGTGTGATACCCCCATCCATGAGTCACCTCCTTTCCTATGACTTACCTATAGAGTCAACTGTGCCATTTCTCTGTCTGTGTCTTGTCCTGCATTTTTTCCAAGCAACGTATATTCCAGTAAGGCCCAGGAATGCTGGCAGCAACAGCAACAGCAACAGCAACATGGGATCCCAGGTTGAGGAAGACGGTGCTGTAACAACCCAGAAGAAAAGTGTTTGCTAACATCTTTGGAGAAGTCAGTAGCTGAGGACTCTCAGAAACTGAGGTGGTGATGGTGGACCCCTCACTGTGTACACCATGGCTTGCTCCAACCAAGCCCCCTTTTGTCAGGACACTGGCTATATTACAGCCCAACATTTTCAGAGATACTTTGTTCGATTGCATGTGGGAGAAAGTAGAAAAACAGAAAGAGGCAGCACACAAGAGCCTTTAAGGTTAGAACGGTCTGATCTTTTAAAAATGAACTTTGATGGAGCAGTGGATATACAGCTAGAGTCCCTGCACTCAGGAGCTGTGGCAGGGCCATGAGTTTGAGGCTATCCTGGGCTGCCAAGGGAACCCCATAAAAATTAAATGCAAAATTTTAAGGCATCTAGGAAGCTGGGCATGGTGGCTCATGCCTATAATTCCAGCACTTGAGGAGGCAGAGACAGGTGGATCTCTGTGAGTTTGAGGCCAGCCTGGTCTACAAAGTGAGTCCAGGACAGCCAGGGCTACACTGAGAGAAACTGTCTTAACCGCTCACCTCCCACGGAAAAAAAAAAAAAAAAAAAAAGGAGAGAGTATCTAGGTGTGGTGGCATAAGCCTACAATCACAGCCTTTGGAAGGCTGAGGCAGGAGCTGCCATAGGTTTAAAACTAGCAGGATTCAGAAGGAGACCTTGTCTCAAAGAAAAAAAAAATTTTAAATTTGTTAAAGGTGAGTTTTATGGGGAGGTGGGCGCTACACCTGTGAATGTCACAGAGCATGACCTAACTGGTGGCCTAAGCATCAGGAAAATCAGAAAATTGTTTTTGAGACACCTGCCTCCCCTGCTGACCGTGCTCCACCCAGGTGCATGCGAAGACAAGAGGGTCCTAAATCTCTTGGTTCTGGAAATAAGGGCAGGTATAAGACAGAATTTGGGTGCTGAGAATTGAACTTGGTTCTTCTGCAAGAGCAGCAAGCAGCATCTCTTTAGTCTTGAGGAATACTTTGTTTAAAACACTTTTGCATCCCTTTGATCCAAGACTTTGGTGTGTATGTGTGAGGGTGAGAGGTGGATAGGCAGATCCTGTGAGACTGAGGCTAGCCTGGTTTACCATAGTAAATTCCATGCTACATAATAAAATTCTGCCTAAAAAATAATTGTTGTCTCTATGTACTACATGACCCAGAATCCACATTTTTTTTTTGTTGTTGTTCAAAATAAAAGTCTCAAAGTGACAAAAATCATTCCTTCAGCAAATTAGAACTTCCTCATTCTGATGAGTACCTATAATGGACGTTCAGGTAAATAATTCTAATGGTGACAGCTTCCTTTCGAAGGAAGAAGTGAGGATATGGGTGTTTGCCGTCACTGCTCATCCTTAATGTAGCACTGAACACTGGAGAGAAAGGAGGAACACTTTTATGTACTGATTCCCAGATGACATGGTGGTTCACATTGAAAATACAAACGATTCTATAACCTACGTAGCTTTTCTTCTCGAGGGTCTCCTAAGTACGGGCTGGGTGTGTCACATGCTGACACCATAACAAGGTTTGCGGGAGGCACATGTCGTGCAGGGGGAGTGAATGTCCATTCATCACACTTATCAATCAAAAAGGATCCAGAGGTGATTCATGATGACCTACACACTGACACAGTGAAACAGCTGTGAGAAATCGGTCCCACCCCAGGCTCAGGTACAGTAGGTCTGACACTGTTAAACTGTTAATCTTCCTCAAGATTCTAAGATGCATGTGCATATCAAGGGGAAAGAGAAGGAAAAGTTGGAAGATCCAAGCTACCAGAGAGATGACGCTACAGATGGGAGGAGGGGCGCAGGGTGCTTTGTACAGTATAGAAAGGGGCCTGTATACTCACAGGGAATGGCTTGCTGAGTCTGAGTTAACAGTCCAGCCCAGGTGGAGGTGGGAGGATTGTTTCAAGAAGAACTTTAAGGGACACAGGACCCAAATTGGAAGCTACAGAGCAAAAAGAAGTTGGAGTCCACAGTAGAGCATTTTAAATTCAGAACATGGTTGCTTTGGCAAGAGATCCCAACTGGAATATTAACACACCTTTAATCCAGGAGACAGAGGTAAGCAGATAAGAGTTCAAGGCCAGTCTGGTAAAGTTAGTTTGTTGAAGGAAGAATTCATGTTTGGAAGTGATGTGATGCCAGAAAAATCAGAGAAAAATCTGACAGATTACGACATGCCAAATTCTCCTGAGAGCCAGGAGGATGGGGAAGCTACTTAAGGGAGCAACACAGAGAAAAAAAAGAGAGAGAATGACAAAGGCCCTTTTACCAGGACAGCAGTAGAGAGACAGGAGACAGAGAAAGAATATAGGTGAAGATAGAATGAGCCAGAGAATGAGGAGCCAGAAGATCAGAAAAGATTGTTGGAATTATTTTGAGGCCAAGCAAAGCAATTCAGAAGGCAAGGGAAAAGCCAGATTGTTTAAATTGGCTGGGAAAGGAGTTTGAGCTAGAGAAGCTAAGTTGAAGTAGGCAGCCCAGAACTCAGTAAGAACAAGAAAGGGCGAGCTTAGTAAGCAGTAAGTCTCAGAGGCTGAAAACATTCTAGGCCTAAGCTAGATTGCACAGAGTCTAGAAGCTTCCAGGTTAGGCCTAGGTTAGCAGAAAGAAGAAATAAGCCTCAAGACAACTGAAGTAAGCAAATAAAAGTTCCTTTTACAATCCACACTCTCTACATATATAAGTGCCCAGATTATAGAAAGCAGTACAGGTCATTACAAAAAGAAAAAAACAAACATATGTCCTCCCAAAATAGATTTAACAACAACAAAAATCTTTGACCAGTAGGAATCTGACAGAAGATAATGTTCAAACAGTATGTGCAGGTAACCAGGACATCCTTCCCTCACAGAATGCAAATGCAAATCCTGATGATGGACTCCAGAAGATGGAGCTGATGCATGCAACATAATGAATATTTGTTTGGTCTTTGCTGCCATTTCCATAAACCTCCTAAAATCCCCAAAGTGGCATCTTTCCTCTGCTACAGAGATGTCACTAAGTGGAGGCTCCTGAGCACAAGGAGATGTCAGATAATAGAGGAACAAATCATGTGATCAAAGGTTGGTAAGGGAGGTAGGAGAGGTAAAGGTAGGTGATCACCCAGGGCCAGAGACCAGATCTTGTGTCTGCAATGAAGCCTTCATGTGAACCACGAAGGTCCTTGGTATAAATATACTGGAGCCTAGGGTGTGCACTTTCCACACACCAGGCCTTGTGAATCTCTTCCAGGATATGTTCCACTACATATAACAAACAAAAAAATCTTGTAAAGAATTTGTTTCCCAGGTTCTGTCAGCCACTGTCAAACTTGCTGAACCTGAGAGTTGTAGGCCTTTGGGGTTCTGACCTGGTCAGTCAGAAACACTTGTGATAAACCTAGATCTGTGACTGTCACCTTGAGGAGACACAGGAAAGGAAAAGAGCTCTTCACTTTCCCCTACCTGAACCTGACTACATCTCTGCCTCAAGAGCCATGTTTTGGCACAGCTGACCACTGGCTGCCCTATACAGAAACTACACAGAAGTCATACTGCTCTCCTAAAAACCACAGCAAGATTCTATGATGACCAGTGTCTTAGAGTTTCTACTGCGCAGATAAAACACCACAACAGAGAGCAACCTCAGGAGGAAAGGGTTTACTTACAATTACAGTTGTGAGGGGAAGTTAGGGCCAGAACTCAAGTCAGGAGCTGATGAAAAGTCCATGGAGAAAAAATGCTTACTGCATTACCCCTCATGGCTTTCTCAGCCTGCACCCAGGACCACCAGCCCAGGGGTAGCATCTCCCACAGTGAACCGAGTTGCCACATTCATCACCTGAGAAAATTTCCCACAGGCTTGCCCAAAGGCCAGTCCAATGGGGGCATTTTCTCAACTCTGTTCCCTCTGCCCAAATTACTGTTGCTTGTGTCAAGTTGATATAATACTAGCCAAGACAACTAGTGAATAAGACTTGGGAGAAAAACGTGTGTGACTATCTCTTGTGTGACCTATGTATAGCACACTACTGTGATTTTTTAATTTGGATTGATGGCTATATCAGTTACTTTTCTGTTGCTGTGATAAAATACAATGACCAAGGCAACTTAAAGAAGAAAGACTCTGGCTTATGATCACAAAGAGATAAAAGTTCCTCTAGAATCACGGTCAGGAAGCCTGACAGCAAGCGGCAAGCATGGCGGCAGGAGCTGGCAAATGAGAGTTCCTATCTTGAACCACCAGCACAAAAGTACAAACTAGAAGTGGTAGGAGGATTCTCACTCCCAGGGATGACATCATTCATCCAGCAAGGCTCTACCACCTAAACCTCCCCTAACAGGGCCACCATCTACGAACCTAATCGTTAAAATGCTTGCAACAGTGGGGGAATCTTTTTCCTTCTAACCCCAATGGCTGCAGGGAATTCTCTAGAGAAAACAAGGGCTTTTGGAACTTCTGGAATAAAGAATCAAACTAGCTAAGGTCCGGGTCAGTGCGGGAGCTTGCTTCTTCTATATGAGTTTTCTGATTTATGTTTATTCTTACTTTTGCTTTGTTTTTATAGTGCTATATATCAAATTCATGGCCTCAAACACACATTAGGAATCCATTATATCACTAAGCTGAACCCTCTCAATCTTATGTTTTATATATAAAGCAAATACACCAGCTGGGCCCATCGTGGTGGTATATGCTGGAAGGGAGAGGCTGGCAGACCTCTGTGAGCCTGGTTTACATAGTGAGGTCCAGGAATTCGAGGGCTATGTACAGATACCCTGTTTCAAAGAAAACAAAAAACAAAAATAAACCAACAACAACGATTCCCAAAAGAAACAAGTTTCCCTGACACCTGCAGAGACCATCCCCAAACCCCACTGTATGGCTTAGTTCTAACTGTATATAAAGATTTTAATGGACTTAGTTATACATGGGAAACTGTACTGGGACACAAAAAAGATAAGGTTTCTCTTTTTTTTTAAGTCTTCCATTTCATGCATAATATTTATTTGATGTTCATATACATGCATACATGTGCCATGTATATGCATGTAAGTCAGAGAACAGCTTGGAGTGGTGGAACCTGCCTTTAATCCCACACCTTATCTAATGGAAAAATCAGAAAAGGGAAACTTTTCTGTCTTCTTTTAGAAAGTCTCTGTGTCTGTGGGAGATGGCTCCAGGATCACCATGAATCTCAAAATATAGATAGAGAATCAGTGAGTATCTTTCAGTACCCCATGCCTGTCCTCCTTTGTGCTTTAAATCACCTCTGGGTTAAGTTAAAAACCTAATGTAAGGGAAATGCTAGGTAACAGCTGTTGTGCTATTTTGTTTCAAGACCAACAAGAGCAAAGTCTGCGGAGTTTTAGATATCCTGCTGAATACTTTCTACCCACTGGTGGCTGAAAGCCAAAGCATGAAACGCTAGAATCTTGAGCTTGTGCAGTGGTTCAGTTGGCAAAGGTGTTTGCTGCAGAGCCTGATAACCTGGGAACTACATAGTGGAAAGAGAAAACTAGTTCCCACAAGTTGTCTTCTGACCTCCTCACACATGTTACACACACACACACAAATCTTTTTTTTTTTTTTTTTTTTTTTTTTTGAGAGAGGATCTCAGCATGTAACCCTGGCTGACTTCCAACTTGCTAGATTGGTCTTGAACTCACACAGATCTGCCTGTCTCTGGCTTCCAAGTGCTGGGATTTAAAATGTATTCCACCACACCCTGTCACAATTTTAAAGTGTTAACATTGGAATATTTAGTTTATACCTTCAGAATCCTCACGTATCTGATGAAATGTAGGGGACTCCCCTGAAAACAGCAACCTGGATATTTTTGCAGCATTAAAGGGGGAAAAACGGGCAATTCTGCTGTGAGGTCCCTTCTGAGCAGGGCCCCAGGTCATGGTGCTCTGAGTCTCTGTTACCATGGGAACCCAGCACTAGTTCCACTGACCTGTTACAAAGATCTCTACTTCCTTCTCCTGTCCGAGGAGGATATTCTGGATGCAGCAGAACACGTTCCTTATGGAGCTGTCTCTGATGGTTATCGAAGCCAACACAGTGAACAGGCCTTGCTCGTCACGCTTCCTGGACTCTGATGTGGGTGGTAACTTCTCTCCTCTTGCTGTCCTCCACTGCACCCGAGGTTCTGGGTACCATCCAGAGGAGGTGCACTCCAGCTCCCTCTCTCCATTCTCTTGAGTTTTCATACTGATGTGAGGATCAGAACCCACAGCTATTGGAGAGAAACTGGCATTAATCCTTGGTGGTTATTCTTTGGTTGTTTTTACCATAGGACTCAAGTATATGTAGGGGGCACAGAAACCCAAGAACAGTAGGCTCAGAAAATCTCAACTCTTCACTTCAAACAAGAGTAGGGATCAACGAAATGACACAAATGAACACCTCTTTAGAAAGATGGCATCTGAAATTACAGGCCTGTAATCCAAACCCTGTAAATATTCATGAGGGAGACAATCTGCTTTAACCATCCTAGAGCTACAAAGTGATGAAAGAACGAGAAAGAAAGAATAAAGGAAAGGAAAATAAAAGAAAAACAAAAGAAGGAAGGAAGGAAGGAAGGAAGGAAGGAAGGAAGGAAGGAAGGAA